AGAACTGTCGGAAAAGAGATAGTCAGCCATGGATGTCTAAGGAAATAAAGGAAAGTGTCAGACTGAAAAAAAAACATACAAAAAAGCAAAGATTAGTGGTAAACTAGTAGACTGGGAAATCTTTAAAGGCCAACAGAAAGCCACAGAAAAAGTTATAAAGAAAAGTAAGATAGATTATGAGAGTAAACTAGCTCAGAATATAAAAAACAGGCAGCAAAAGTTTCTATAAATTTGTAAATCGTAAAAGACTGGTGAAGGTAAACATTGGTCCTTTAGAGGATAAGAAGGCCAATTTAATAACTGGGAATGAGGAAATTTCCAAGGCACTAAACAGTTATTTTGTGTTAGTCTTCACAGTGGAAGACACAAATAACATGCCGAAAACTGATGGCAAGAAGGTTATAGCAGGTGAGGACTTAGAAACTATCATTATGACTAAGGAGGCAGTGCTGGGCAAGCTAATGGGGCTAAAGGTAGACAAGTCTCCTGGCCCTGATGAAATGCATCCCAGGATACTAAAAGAAGTGATGGGGGAAATAGCAAATGCACTAGTAATTATTTACCAAAATTCACTGGACTCTGGGGTGGTTCCCGCAGATTGGAAAACAGCCAATGTGACGCCACTGTTTAAAAAAGGAACTAGACAAAAAGCAGGTAACTTTAGGCCAGTGATAGTAGGAACTGCAGATGCTGGAGAATCTGAGACAACAAGGTGCAGAGCTGGATGAACACAGCAGGCCAAGCAGCATCATAGGAGCAGGAAGGCTGACGTTTCGGGCCTTTTTCTGATGAAGGGTCTAGGCCCGAAACATCAGCCTTCCTGCTCCTATGATGTAACTTTAGGCCAGTTAGCTTAACTTCGGTAGTGGGGAAAATGCTTAAATCTATCATTAAGGAAGAAATAGCAAGACATCTGGATATGAATTGTCCCACTGTGGACACCCAGCATGGGGTCATGAAGAGTAGGTCATGTTTAACTAATTTGGTGGAATTCTTTGAGGACATTACTTGCATGGTGGACAATGGGGAACCTGTGGATGTGGTGTATCTGGATTTCCAGAAGGCATTTGACAAGATGCCACATCAAAGACTGCTACATAAGATAAAGTTGCACAATATTACAGGTAATGTATTGGCGTGGATAGAGGATTGATGGCTAGTAGAAAACAAAGAGTAGGGGTAAATGGGTGTTTTTCTGGTTGGTGGTCAGTGGCTAGTGGTGTGCCTCAGGGATCAGTGTTGGGACTGCAATTGTTTACAATTTACATAGATGATTTGGAGTTGGGGACTAAGTGTGGTGTTTCAAAATTTGCAGATGACACTAAGATGAGTCGTAGAGCAAAGTGTGCAGAAGACACTGAAAGTCTGCAGAGGGATTATAGATAGTCTAAGTGAGTGGGCAAAGGTCTGGCAGATGGAGTACAATGTTGATAAGTGAGCGGTTATCCATTTTGGTAGGAATAACAGCAAAATGAACTACGTTTTAAATGGTAAAAAATTGCAGCACGCTATTGCGCAGAGGAACTTGGGTGTCCTTGTGCATGAATCGCTAAAAGTAGGATTGCAGGTGCAGCGGGTAATTAAAAAGGCAAATGGAATTTTGTCTGTCATTGCTAGAGGGATGGAGTTTAAAAAACAGGGTGGCTATGCTGCAGCTGAATAGGGTCCTGGTGAGGCCACACCTGGTGTACGGTGTGCAGTTTTGGTCTTCTTCCTTGAGAAGGGATATACTAGCACTGGAGGGGGTGCAGAGGAGATTCACTTGGTTGATTCCAGAGTTGAGAGGGTTGGATTATGAGGAGAGATTGAGTAGACTGGGATTATACTCATTGGAATTCAGAAGAATGAGGGGAGATCTTATAGAAACATATAAGATTATGAAGGGAATAGATAAGGTGGAGGCAGGGAGGTTGTTTCCGCTAGCAGGTGAAACTTGGACCAGAGGCCATCGCTCAAAATAAAGGGAAGCAGATGTAGGACTGAGGTCAGGAGGAACTTCTTCACCCAAAGGGTTGTGAATCTGTGGAATTCCCTGCCCAGTGAAGCGGTTGAAGCTACCTCGCTGAATGTTTTTAAGGCAAGGCTAGATAAATTTTTGAACAGTAAAGGAATTAAGGGTTATGGTGAGTGGGCGGGTAAGTGGAGCTGAGTCTCAAAAAGATCAGCCATGATCTTATTGAATCGTGGGGCAGGCTCGAGGGGCCAAATGGCCTACTCCTGCTCCTAGTTCTTATGTTCTAAATATTAGCACAGAATTGAAGAGTTTCACTGCTGTTGTGGCTGTGTGCAAGCATTTCAGCCTCAGAAATAGAGATTGTGACTTCAAACCAAACTATTGATTTTGGCTCGTAATCTATTTCGCTACAATGCTGTATCTTAGCAAAGGCTTTTCTGAAGTCAATACATACTTATACTTATTCATTGCATTTCCACCATTTGCCAGAGACTTTTGTGATGTTTGTCAAGCACCATCATTCATTTTGAAGTTTTGTGCTGGAGATTTATAATAGTGAGGGCTGGGTTTGCACTGATCCCACTTTTGAATTGCTGTTTAAATGCATCAAAACAAAGTTCATTATGACAGTATGTGTGAAAAAACAAGTTCAGAGAAGACTTTTGAAGAATGCATTTCAGTAGCTATTACAAATACAGTAAAGTCCCATTACTATATGTTCATCTTTTGCAAATTCTCTTCTCTGCACTTTATACTATATGTGTCAATGTTCAGCTATCTGCAGCATGGGAGGCAAAATATGATGATAAAATATCAACAAAACTAAAATAAAAATTTAGAAAGATCTTGCTCATGGAAATATTGAAGACAGTACTGTAATCCCAGATCCTCAAAGTATTCTGTATTTATGTGTTGACTCCTGACTTGGGTATGGGCCCACAACATTGTGTAGACCAGTAATTTGTGAGTCACCAATGTCTAATAAGGATCAGTGTCTCGTGTCGCAGGTCTTCTGCTTTTCTTAGTGTTCTTGCATTGTTTCTCTACAATTTTCAATGAATTTTAGTTTGTTTTGTGTGTTGTAGATATCAAAATTTTGATTGGCTGCACCTTATCCTGTTGACTCCTGTTAAATCATGTCCGCGGTTTGTGATTTCAGCAGCTAACTAAATGTACACAATACCTCGAGAGTACAAGCTCCAAACTAATATGTAGTCAGCCATTTTATAACTTAATACCATTGTAACTTTTGTAATTGTCTTCAGAACGTATTGCTGATGGTTCTCTGCAGAAGTCTTTTAAGAAATGCATAAATAATATGTCTAAATTTTCCTGCACGAGGGATTACAATCTAGTTGTAAATTTTTGTAATGTTTGCTGTGAATACAACGTTATAAACTCTGCTTTTCTATAACTTGTAATAATCTCAATAGTTCTAGTTTTGTAATGTTTGTCCTCAAAGATATGTTCATGAACTCAATCACCTGGTCTGCCTGTTCGACATTGACTGCTTTATGGAGACAGTTGAAGACTGAGTGAACTTAAATTGTTAAGGAGCATTTTTTTTACTGATGGAAAAGAAAACATGGTTTTCATTTGCTTTAGTTCCATTTTGCTCAGGGAACACTATATTCATTTATGCATTTGATTGTACTCAGAGTGTTTGTTTTTTTCACTAAATAAATAATTAAATGCTGTGGTTAACATATTTTTAGGAAACAATTTACAAATGGGCGTGGGTTGAATTCTCTGAAATATATGTTTAAGTCAAAGGTAGTGGAATTCCCTAATTGGGAGGGAAATTAAACTACATAAATTATTTATTGTTTATCCCTTTCACAGGCAAAGAAAAAAGAAATGAGGTTTTCTGAAAGGGTTCCTTCCTAACAGGATGTGTGTTTATTAGTACTATTATTGGCCCATTCTAGCCTGTGGTAATGTGCTGTGTTGCGCTTCCTGTTTGATAGAGATCCCATTCTGACATGAAACATTGTGTTCCTCCTGCTTATTAATGGCTTTTCAGGTGAATCTTGCTTCTGCTTAAGTTGTGGTGCTGAAATGCACGTAAGTACTTAAAATTATGGCTGACGAACCCTTAAGAGCCTTTTTTATTTGCAAATTTTGATGTGCAGGATTAGAGAGCCTTGCTGGTAGCTGCTCCATAGCAACCAACCAGTGACCTCACTGATATTCTGTTATGCTGGTGATGAGAAAATGCTTAAAAGTGACCTGGGGAGACATCACTAATGCCTCAGTGGCTCCTTTTCATAATTTAAACACTGCAGTAGAAACCTGAACGCCATGTGTAAATTGTAGTTGGACATAGCCTTAAAATATAAGTTAATGAGCACTCCTCTGACTTCTGGGAATTTTGCAAAATTCCCAAATGCAGGACTCGCTATGTATCAAGCATCGTTCTACTTTTCTGTTGCTAGCGGGGACTTTGATTTTATAGTAGAGCATTATTAAGAAAATCTCTAGTTCTGTATTGTTCTCATCATGCACCAGTTACACTTTCCGATAGATAGTGATTTACACAGTAGTCAACTGACCCTCACTCATTAGTGAAGTTGAACCCAAACAACAGAAATGAGGACCACAACCTCTGGTCCCGGTTCAGGTTTAGAGAGTTGATAACATTTAATAACCATCAGAATCAAATGTCTTTGTTCGGTACAGACAATGCCAGAGACAAAACTCTCACAGACATTGACTGTACATAAATTTCACTTTATGGGTACTCATTTCCCCTTGTCTCCTTACCTTCACGATCTTTTCTTTCTTCCTAAACCCCCCCCTCCTTATGCACTTCCCCCCCCATTCTTCATTTCCTTGCCTCACCTCTAATCCTATCCATATACCTTTGGTCAGATATATGTCCACACTCCAACAGCATTAGATCTGAAAATTGGTCATAGTCTTGACTTCCTTGTGTTGTATAAATAAAACCAGTTATTCCATTTATGTATGCTGTTTTAATATTAAATTGTCATTAGCTTTGTATTCGTAGTTATGCCAACAAAACATTCCTATTCTCACTGCTCAGATTGAATATTTCCTGCGGAAACTGACTGAAGCAATGGGAGTTAATTGGCAGCAGGAGCAGTTTGAAGACTACAGAGCTCATCTTGGTGCCAAGCAGAGTGGCCTTTCTGCATGGGAGTTCATTGAACTGATTGGCTCTGGCCTGTTCTCTAAGGGCATGAACAGACAAACGTTGTCCATGGCAATCAATGAAGTTTACTGTGAGCTCATTCTGGATGTGCTGAAACAGGTAAGAGTAGTTTTCTCATCTCTCAGGCTTATTCCCTTCTGTTTTCCCCAAACCTCTCTTACTTGGATAATGCTGTTTTTCCTGAGTGGAATGTAATAAGTGGTGACAGAAAGATGTGAGAAGAAATGTTTTGTTTTAAAAGAAAAACTTAATTGTGACACTCAAAGACTCATAAGTTCCAACAAAAAAAAAGCAATGTATTTCCTCAGAAGGTTTTAGTCGTCATGCTTTGTACAGCACTAGTTGAGATTCAGTTTCATAACTTATCCTGTGTTTCTCATCTTCCTGGTTGTTCAGGGTGATGTTAAATGGTCATTTTCAAGAGGATAAGTATCTATTGAGTTACACTTGATGGCTTGAAACAGCATTGAGTGGTATTGGCAGAGATGTCTGATCAAGCTGCTCATAGCATCATTTGGATACTGGAGGACTATACCCAGATGGGAAAATTCACAAGGGTAAAACTGAGTTAAGATGGATATCACCCAAAAACAAGTCACATAAATGAAAATAATGTTCCTGCTGTAATGATATTTCACGACACAGGTTGAAAAGTTATAAGATTTTATTTATGCATGTTCCGTAAAAGGAAAAGAATTAGTGTAAGTTAGATTGGTCTGTACCTCCATTTGCAGTTTCTTTATTTAATGTTCACTCCACCAATTTTGCTGAAATACCAAGTGTTAAGTCTGGTATATTTTAAAACCTAAGTGAATAGTTGAAAATTAAAACATTAAGATCCCTTTAAAATATTTTATTGCCAAATTATTTTGCTTTTATGTTTTTTTAGCCTCAGTAATTGAGACAAATTAGGGGAAATATTAGATACAAGCTACAAATAAAACAAAAAAAGGTAAATTTGGAGAAAATAAAAAAAAAAATTATTTTGAATCTCACTAAACCTTTAGAAAACAAGCAAAATGTGAACAAGGCACACAGTTAAGTAAAATTGCACAGTTTATAAACTTTAAGTTTATGGCCTTGATGGCAAAGTAATGAGGCAAGTTTGTTCCGCGCAGAGCAAAATATTGTCACGAAATTAAAGAAAAATATATGTTTAGAGTATTTGTGTCTGAACTGACTGCAGTAGCACTTTGACTGCAAAAGTTGAAGTTTAAAGTATTGTGAAAGTTAACTTTTTACATGTCTAAAGAAATTTCATGGCGTTACGTTACAATTATTCTGTTTTGGAATCATTTTTACGATTTATATTTATACTGTCATTATTGAGTCGCTCTGAGTGTGTCCTGAGAGCACGAATGCTTGTTTTTCATCTCTTGATTTTTTTTGATAGCAATGGAATGGAAATTGAAGTTGTTGAGCAGAGAAAGCACTTAATCTGTGCCTGAAATCCCAGCGTCTGTTTGGATTTGTGCCTTCAACTCCCTTTCATTCGCTGTTTCAATTTGCTTCTCCATCCACTCACCAATTGCACTCACTGTTCCAAGGGAACTAACTGCAAGCTTGAACAACACTTCATCATTCTAACAGGCACTTCAAAGGCTCTTGTCTAAATACTGACTTTAGGCCATAAATATAGTTCTGAATTTCTCTCATAGTTGATGTTGGCAATATAATATAGGTGTGTAGAAATGCCTAGTCACTGCTGTCATGTTGGGAAACATACAACAAAGGGAATCATTGTCCTTAAGAATCAGGCAACCAGACTAATTGTATGAGTATCTACCACCACCAAAACAGAGCACATAATTGATCTAAATTTGGAATACAAGAGATGGCTTAAATGGCTAACTTCTGTTTTTATTGAATTGAACATAATTGAGATGTTAAGCCAGATCCTGATTAAAAGTTAATATTTTAAATACCCTATCTTTCAGGTGCTGACTCATTTTCTTTAACTTTTGTCTTTGAACTTCTGGTTTTCTTTCAATCTTATGCGTCATAAAGAAATATGGTTAGTCACCATTTGGATCTTAATGGTAGCTGCTGTTTTCCTGCAGTTTCTGGAGTGTAACGTAAGTGTAACTCGGCAGTAATTCTTGCCATTCTTCTCAACCTGACTCCCACCCAGTATTCAACAAAGTGCAATGGAGGAGAAAGAAGGGAAACACTGTCATTAGTTTTTAGAGCAAAAGGCTATTATGGGCCATGTCCCAAGATATTTCCTTGGAGTTTGCATGACTAACAGTTATGTGTTTGTGTAATTCAAATCTAAAACCTCTTGATTAACTGAGCATAATGGCTGGTTATATCTATTTTCAAAGTATTTTCCTAAAGCTATTTCTGTTGTGATGATTGGGCATGTAACACCTCCAGAATCAACCACTGCTTAATATGTTCATGAGAAATACACAAACATTTTCACAAGAGTAGCACAGTTGCTCAGTGGTTAGCAACGCTGCCTCACAGCACCAGGGACACTGGTTTGATTCCAGCCTTGGGCGACTCTCCCTGTGGAGTTTGCACGTTCTCTCTGTGTCTGCATGGGTTTTCTCTGGGCGCTCCGGTTTCCTCCCACAGTCCAAAGATGTGCAGGTTAAGTGGATAGGCCATGTTAATTGCCCATAGTGTCCAGGGATGTGCAGACTAGGTGGATTAGCAATGGGAAACACAGGGTTACAGTGACAGGGTCTGGGTGGGATGCTCTTCAGAGGGTCAGTGTGGACTTGATGGACTGCTTCCACACTGTAGGGATTCTATGATTTTCTTTCAAACCTTGTGATTCAATAGAAAAATATGATTTTTATACATTTGTTCTAATCATCTGAACACAAGAGGATACAGAAGGCGTTATCTAACATGTGTTGGTCACTTGTTCTGTTCCTGCAGTTGTCTCAGGAAGTGGGATTAACTGTTTGAAAGAATTTTTATGCCCTGGAATGTTTTATCATTAGAGCCAGTACTGCCATAGCCAGAAAATATCTGCAAACCATGATAAGCCGAGGGTACAATTTATGATTCATTATTGAATTGGAGGCATTTGAGTTTTGTTTGAAACTATGATTGAATTCCAGTAGTGATGACTTGTATTTAAATTTTAGACTTGAAGATATTATTGAATGACATTTTTGAGTGGTTTGATGTCAAAGTGGGAATAATATATGGGAGGTTTAGAAGGTTAGGTGATGGATATCAGCATTTTAATTAATAGTGCTAAGTAAGGGAATGACTTTACTGTGATGTATTTTAATATAAATCATTTAGACAGTAGAGATTAAAATACAAACTTCACAAGCAAATTTTTGCATGCTTTGAGGTGGAAGTTCTTTCCATTTACTAAACAAGATGTGGGCCACTCTTAATAAAGTAACTACTAAAAAATATATTCAAATGAACAAAATTAAAGTAATTTGCATCTTTTTATCTTTGCTAACGTTCCCTACTATTGTAAATTGGTGCTACTGCAGCGTATTTACAATGTCTTGGGATGTTTTAGTGTGTAAAAGTGCTATATAAATGTAGGTTGATATTAATAAATAATCAGTTTTAAACATATTTGTTAAAAGGTTAAAATAAAACAACTGCAAATGCTGGCGATCTAAAACAAAAACAGAAATTGCTGATGAAACTCAGTAGGTCTGGCAGCATCTGTGGAGAGAAAACAGAGTTAATGTTTTGAGTCCGGTGATTCTTCTGATGTTCTGACAAAGAGTCATCAGATTTGAAATGTTAATTCTGCTGTCTCCCAGAAATGCTGCCAAACCTGCTTAGTTTCACCAGCAATTTCTATTCTGTTAAAAGGTTATAGTCCAACAGGTTTATTTGAAATCACACAAGCTTTCGGAGTGCACCCATCACAGCTGCAGTAAGAAAGGAGAGCACACAGACACAGAGTTTATAGACAGGGAGATCAAGGGCAGAGAGATCAAAAGATCATACAACTGGTGTGAGTGGAGTGTCAGATGATAAGTCTCTGCAGGTGACCAAGAGTGTTCGACGGTGAGTAAAGTGTCAACAGCTAAATAACCAGTGAAGGGATGACCTGTAATCCGATTCAGTGAGGCAGGGAGATAATTGTAAACAATTAAAAAAGGTGGTGCTGGAGCCAAACTAAAAGACTGGAATTGCATGCCGAATTCAAAACTGTACAAACTAATTAAGGTAGAGAAATCATAACAATTTATC